ATATATATATATTTATACTTTTTTTATACTGATCTGGTGCAGGAACAAAGTTCTGTTCCAACATTGCAGAACCTGTTTCAGTCTGCTTTACCTGCTAAGGAGATACAGAACTGTGCTCATGGATACTTTGTAGAATAAAAGGAATTGGTAAGAAAGTGGGTGCCATGTTATGACAGTGTTATTGGTGAGCCAGTTTATCATGTAGTTGTGCCTTTGAAATTGCGTGATTTGTTTTTGTGTGTTTCTCATCATGAGTCTGGACACATAGGAGTCATGAAAACCTATGACCGCATTTTGAGAAGGTTTTTTTTGGGCCTCGAATGAAAAAAATATTGCTTCCTATTTTAAAACATGTCACACCTGTCAGTTGACTGGTAAACCCAATCAAATCATTAACCGTGCACCACTTTATCCTATTCCAGCTATTGGTCAACCATTTGAACACTTAATTAATGATTGTGTGGGTCCTCTTCCCCCTTCACGTTCAGGTGCTAAGTATCTCTTGTCTGTTATGTGCCAGAGTACTAGGTATCCAACAGCATATCCATTGCACACACTTACTGCAAAGTCTGTGGTTCGAGCTCTTATGAAGTTTATTGCGATTTTTGGGATACCAAAAGTCATTTAGAGTGACCAGGGATCTAATTTCTCCTCGCATTTGTTCGCACATGTTTTGTGCAGCTGCACATTAAGCACAATCAATCTACAGCATATGCACAGAGCCAAGGAACACTGGAGCAGTTTCATCTGACATTAAAAACTTTACTGTTTTCTTTACTTATTATATATATATATATATATATATATATATATATATATATATATATATATATATATATATATATATAAACATATATATATGCTTTTTGATAGTTTGATTTGTAGATGAGGCCCCGTCAGCTCTTTGTTTTGGCTTTTGTCGTGTTTTTGTTTTATCTTTAATCTTTTCCTTTATCCAGTCTTTACATCAGACTGCATCTTCTTGTCCTGTTTATTACAAACCGTGAAATCATCATTGGCCTATTTGTCAGGTTATGACATTCATATCTTGTTGCAAATTGTCATGTTTGTCATCATATTCCTTTAATGCATTATAGAGTGAAGATGTTGATGACAGATAATCCAAAATAACTCAGCATCTTATATTTTCAAAATTATTTTTAAATGCCAAAAACATTTTATTTAAGCCAGAAAAGATTGTCTGCATTTTTACAACACAGTAACTCATAAGTTAAAGAAATTAGATTAAATAAATTAAATGTTTTCAGTCAAATGAAATGTTTGAAAGTTCTTTTTATTCTTTAACTCAGAAGATAAATCTGATAATCTTGGAGAACCTTAGCAAACTGTGAGCAAAAGAAGGAGCAAACATAGACAGTGAGACACGGGTTTATTAGAAGTGAAACATTTACATGCTGCAGAACTCAACCAGGACGGTGAGCAGAGGAAACATGCTCCCCCTCAGGCAGCATCTGCTCAGACAGCAGGACGATGGGACAGAGATGGGTTAGAAACACTGAAGCCTGATGGAGGATGTTCAGATAATACAACAAAGGAAAGTTTGGTCAATCAGATGCATTTGAGCAGATAGGAGTTGCAGTTCGCTCCTCTTCCACAGTCGCAGAGCTTCCCGATCCGAGGCCCGAACCTCATGGCACAGCGGTTCCCCATCCCACACTGAGGACAGGAAGAGGACTTAATTCTTCAAGTCAATCACAAACAAACACTTTGAAAAAGTGTTCACATTAACTTCTCCACATTTGATTAAGTTACCTTGGATTATTAGAGCTTTGTGAGACAGACTAATACAGGAGAACATAACTGTGACATGGAAGTTGTGTGGTTTTAAAAGTTTGCACGTAAAAGTTTGAAAAATGTGGTTTGGTTTGTATTCAGCCACCTTGAGTCCATGTTTGGTAAAACCTCCTTTAGCTGCAAGTCTTGGTCTACCTCCAGCAGCTTTGGACATCTAGAGCCTGAAATCTTTGTCCATTCTTGATAAAACAGCTGCAGCTCAGTCAGATTGGATAGAGAGCATCTGTGAACAGCAGCTTTTTTCATTCAACCTTTATTTAGACAGGTAAATCCCATTGAGCCTCGAGGACTCATTTACAAGAGAGACCTGATTTCAACAAAGAAAGATGACAACAATGGACAACAGCGACAACAATAAACAATTATAAAAAGTAATACTGCAGTTTTTTTTTTTTTTTAACAAATAGGATGGCTAAAAGAAAAAGGTAACAAAAAAAACAGCTAGATTCCAAGACAAATGTAAAATACTAAAAACAGGAACATGTCTGCATTGGTCCCTGCCAGGAGTCCAACAGATTCTTAAAGCCACTTAGAGAGGTCAAAGGTCAAGAGCTTCAAATCTTTTTGTAAGATATTCCAGGAAACAGGAGCGAAGTAGGAGAAGGCCCTTTTGCCTAGTTCAGTCCTCATTGAGGGACCAATGCAGGTAATAATGTCCTGAGAGCGGACTCCGTAGCTGCGCTCACGCAGAGACATCTAGGAGGAGATGTATGAAGGCAGCAGACCAAGATGTGATTTAAAGATGAAAATGTACCAGTGAGAGAGTCTGCGTGAAGTTAATGATGTCCAGTTAACCAGTGAATACAGGGTGCAGTGGTGGGTACGATAATCACAGCCAGTTATGAATCTTAGTGCACCATGATAGACAGCATCCAACATCTGCAGGGTTCTTGTAGGAGCGTTCATGTAAATAATGTCACCGTAATCAATGGAGGGAAGGAAAGTCACAGATACAAGGCGTTTTCTAGCATTCAGGGTTAGACAGGATCTGTTCCTGAAAAAGAAACCCAGTTTAACTTTCAGTTTCTTTACCAAGTTTTCCACATGAAGTTTAAAAGAGAGATGTGAGTCGACCAAGATACCCAAATATTTATAGGAATCAACAAACTCAATGGGGACACCATTTGAGGATAAAATCGGAGGAAGAACTGCTGGGACCAACTTCCTATTTGAAAAAAGCATCCCTTTGGTTTTGTCGGCATTTAGGACAAGTTTGAGGCGGAACAAATCTGTCTGGATGTTGTTGAATGCAGATTTCAAAAGCTGGAAAGCCTTAGCAACAGTTTTAGCTCGACAATAAACAACTGTGTCATCAGCATAGAAATGTATGGATGCATTAGGGATGTTTTTACCTACATTATGTATGTAGATTGTAAAGAGGGTGGGTCCTAAGACTGAGCCTTGTGGTACACCATTGTTGACTGTTAAATAACTGGAGGAAGTACCATTATGTTGAACACATTGCCTCCGGTCTGAAAGATAGATAGAGAACTAACCAATGGTGTGATCTGAGAAACCGATTTCTGAGAGTTTATGACACAACATGTTATGATCCACAGTGTCAAAAGCTTTAGACAGGTCTAAGAAAAGTGCAGCACAATAATCCTTAGCATCCAGTGCTTCAACAACATCATTAAGAACCTTCAGTGAAGCAGTGGTTTTGCTGTGTTGTTTCCTGAAACCAGATTGATGTGGAGGTAAGATGTTAAATGAGTCCAGGTAATTTTTGATTTGAGAGTTTATCAGTTTTTCTAGAACCTTGGATAAAATGCAGAGTTTAGAGATCGGTCGATAGTTGTTCAGTGAGGTGGGGTCACCTCCCTTCAGCAAAGGAAGAACAAAGGCTGTTTTCCAAGTGTCTGGGATGGAGTTTTGTCTTATGGAGAGATTGAAGATGTGGGTCACAGGGACTGTGATGATATGAGCAGCCAGCCTTAAGAAATAAAGTGGAAGTTCATCTGGACCTGCAGATTTTTTAGGGTCAAGATCTTTTAACAGTTTATTGACCTCACTGACTGAGAATGGAGAAAAAGAGAAGGTTTGATTAACTGAGGATTGACTTGTAGAAGTTTGGTTATTAGGGGAAGTGGCTGATCTTCCATTAGTAACTGTGTCAAATAAAGAACTAGAAGCAACAAAATGTTTGTTGAAACAGTTCAGGATCTCGTGCTTATTTGACACAGGAACAGAGTTAATGGGAAGTTGTGCTGGAAGGTCAGATGAGGTCAGATGGATGGAGGTCAGCTTCTCAGAGGGATTCAGGTCTGGACTTTGGCTGGACCATTCTATCATAAACATGTTTTGATCTGAACCAGGTCGCTGTAGCTCTGCTTGTTTTGGGTCATTGTTCTGCTAGAAGGTGAACCTCCGCCCTGCTCTCAAGTCTTTCTTGTTCTCTAACAGGTTTTATTCTTGGATTCTCCTGTTTAGCTCCATCCATCTTCTCATCAGCTCTGATTCTCTGTCCCTGCTGAAGAGAAACATCCCCACAGCATGATGCTGCCACCACCATGTTTCACATGGTGCGTTCAGGTGACGTGCAGTGTTGGTTTTCTGCCACACTTACCGGTATTCTGATCTGAGCAGAGCTCCTTCTTCCACATGTTCATGTGTCTCTACATGACTTCTGACAAACTGCAAATGAGACTTTCTCTAGCTTTCTGTCAACAACAGCTTCCTTCTTCCTACTCTTTCATAAAAAACAGATTTGTGGACTGCACGTCTGAAAGATGTCCTGTGGACAGATTCTCTCCTCTGAGCTGAAGATCTCTGCAGCTCCTCCAGAGTTACCTTGGGCTTCTTCTCAGATTAAAGTTCTCCATGTCCAGTCTGTCAGTTTTTGTGGAAGATCCCGTCTTGGTGGTTTGTTGTTGTACTACGTCCACTTACTGATGATTGACTGAACAGTTATTCTTGAGATGTTGTTTTATAACCTAACACTGCTGTAAACTTCTCAACAATTGTCTGGTGTGTTCCTTGGTCTTCATGATGCTGTCTGATGAGTAATGTTCTGTAACAAACTCTTGAGGCCTTCACAGAACATCTGCTGTGAAAACTGAGATTAAATTACACACTGACAGACTCTGTTCACTAATTAAGTGACTTGTGGACCAGATTTTAGTTCAGAGTGTCAAAGCAAAGATGAATATTATAAATGTTCAAAACGTTGTTTACATTTTTCTAAGAAAAAGGAAAACTTTGAATCATTTTCCTTCAGTGTGTTTCTTTGTGTTGGTCTGTTGCATAAATCCCAGTAAAATACATTGAAGCCTGTGGTTGCAGTGTGACAGTATGCTGAGAAGTTTCTGGAGTGTGAATACTTTTTCAGAGCTCAGTAAAAAAATTAATGATTCCTGCCATTTCTGAGAAAAGATATTTAACTCTATCAACTATGACTCAAATATCTGGACACATTTGTTCATGGCTTCATTAAGAATTTGTTCCCCCGTGGCTTAATTCAAGACAGAATCAAATGAGCTCAACATTTTTCATCTAATAATTAGACTCTGGTCATTAATTGATGGTAACAGTCTGATTAATACTCACAGAGGGTTGAGGAGGTTTTTATGCCTGTTACTTTCCACTTTTCCAGCAAATTGAATTAAGACACCAATCTTTATTTGGTCTCTAATTATAGAGTGAAAGACTGTTGTTGGGATTTTCTTCTTATCTTTTCTTTTAATCACTCGCAGTATAAGTTTAATTAAAAAACAGAGGAATGATGTTTGCAGTAATGGATAATGATGACTCAGCAGTCCTGTGAATGAGCACATCAGGCTTTAAAAAGCTGAGTTTGATCAATATTAATGTAAAAAAGAGTGGAGTTACCAGAGGGATGCTCCCTCGTTTCTCAGTGGAAGGAGCATGATTATTCATCTGGTCCAACAGAACCTCCAGAGCTTCTACCTGCATGGCAAAAACAGGAAAAGAAACCAACTTACACAGCACGATGTGAACAGATAAATCCTGTGGAAATATGGCTTTAATATCATCTTTAAACAGAACTACCCAGGCAGGTTTAAAATATAAATAAAGGCAAATAGTTGTGACTTTTTGGTCACATTGTTGCATTAATTATAAACATTTTACAGCATTATTTTCTCTTAAATTATCCAACACTCAGTCCAACACATTTAGCGCATTTAAGAAATCTGACTCTTTAATATAGTAGATCGGCTGCAGAGGACAACATCCAGATGGACTGGTATCTACTTTTTAGGTAAAGAAACGTGATATACATATA